AACCTGTGAAGGATCCCTGTAGCCGTGTCATTGTTATAGTACTGCTGTTAAGAAGGCCACGGTACTGTAACACTACTATACAACCTTGTTGCTTACTTATATATCTACTAACTGACTAATCTAAGAATACTAAACTCAAACTACTTTATCTGTAATCTAAACCTATCAGAGCCTTTATGTCTGATCTAGATTTTTATATACTGCTTTTGTCAATCAATTTCTTATTTATAGATTTATTACATTTTTTATACTAACAATACCATATTTCCAGGTTAATACTCAGTGCTTATAGAAAGACATTCATTTGATTAGCTAATATAAATCAATTGCCTGAGTAACTTATTTATATTCTTTAAAGTACTTTTAGAAATACAATGTTTTATAATAAAAAATTATTGCAAAAGTCATTTTTCACTTCAAAAGAACATTTATATTCACTATACAAAAATAATCAAAAATAATCAGTAACCCCAAGAACTTTACTTAAAAGACAAAATATGTCTACCATTTATTAGACCATATTGTAAAATGAAGATAACTAAAAATGTTTTTGTCTACAACTACTTTATTACATTAGATTTAGATAAACTTTTACTTCTAACTGTTTAATTGGAATAGGTACAAGCTCTTAATAGTAGAAGAGCCAGGCTCAATATTTCAATTTAGTCTGTTTTTGTAATGCATTTGGGTTTGTCAACTAAATATTAGTAGTTAAAGTTTTGGTTTGTTTTATATATAGATCTTGTATATAGATTCTTTAATGATTGGGGTTTATTAATAATAAACATCATTTACTTATCTTATATATATCTATCTATTCTTTAAATATAAGTAATATATTTTTTTTGTGTGTATTTATTAGTTTGTAAGCTTTTTATATAAAGTTTTTTTTAATTTTTTATTAATAAAATTATATAATTTGGTTAGTTAATTATTACAGAAAATTATAGATAGATCTACTAAAATTAACTAATCATATAAATGTCTCTCTATAAACTTAGTGCAATATCTATTACAGATTCCATTAAGGGGTACTTGACAATTGTAACCTTATAGTTACTTCTAATATTGATATTATAGTTTCATATAATGTTAGTCATATGCATGAAGGTCTTGATAACAGGTACTTCTTGAATTAGTATATTACAGGATTGGATGTTAAAACTTTTAATCGAGTTTTTCATAACAAAGTCACTTCCAAATTAAGGTTATTTCAATTATATTACTACTTCTAGTTAAATACAATCTTGTTGTTTCTTGTCATATTTTAAGTATACCCCAAGTTGTTTACCAATTTCTCTCTATTTAGATAATCTGTATCTTAATTTGATATTGTACAGAATATTATAGATGCTTCCACTTCCAGTTAGACCAATTCTTTATCACAGATTATCCTTGTGTTTATTACTTTTTTCAATACTCTAGTTTTGTTACTATCATATTATTCTCCCAAGCAAATATCCCAACCACTGGGAATGTTAGTGCTGCTCTGGTCACTTCTAATCGAGAACTTATATGTGTGATCTTTATGTAACAAAATCTTCTATAGAGAACACGCATGTTAATAATGCTTCATAATTGAATCTCTTTTTCAGAAATTTCTTTTTCTGGTTTGTATTTGTATTTGAACTTAGTTACAGAACTTTACATTTAATAACAGAGTCTCTTTCTGGATTACAGAAATGAAAAATTTTAAGATTTTTTGCCTCTAGCCTAACCTGAACCATTGACCTAATCTGTAAAGATTTGGTAGCTTAATCACTAAACTATAAGGTCCAAACTCTATAAGGTTGATCTTTAGTATAGGTGGGTATATATAATTATTATAAAATTATAATATATATAAATTAACTATTTTAAACTAATTTAAGTAATTTTGTAAATTATTAAAATCAGAATTATGGTTAGAATTTAAATTAGCTCAAATTAGTTAGGTTTTATATATTATAATATTGTAATAATTTATTATAATCTTGTAATAATTTATAAGAATTGATATTTCTACACCCTTTTTTGATATTGTTACACTTCTGCTAACTCTAAACCCTAACCAAACCCTAATAATTAATATTGATTTTTATTAACAGTGGTGTATTAATAATAAAAAAAAGTGTAGAAATATCAATTTCTTAATTTATATATATCTACCTATACTAAAGAAGATTTGAAAAATAACTTTAAATATTTATTTATTTAATAAAAATATTAATAATATATTTAAGAACTATAACTCTGAAATAATCTAACTAGTTTGGTAGTTGTTGTTTCTGCATTGCATTTATCAAGTATAAGCAATTGCAAAAAATATGTAATATTTTTTGAAGCAGCTGGATATATTATATAAATATCAAGATGTTTATTTATAATAATATCTAAACTTTTATCAATCAAGATTTTAAAAAATAGGCAGTACAGATAAAATAAATATCAAGTTTAATATATGTATATTGTTAACTATTATTATTTAAGAAAATTCAAATCTATTTTTGATAGAATCAATAAATTTTAACCAAAAAAGTTCTGTCAAGAAGCATGCATCTTCTGATCAACATATAGATACAATAAAACTTGAAGCTGCTAAAAAGATAGCTGATGAAGCATCAACAAAATCTATACAAAAAGGTGAAGCACATGTAGTTAGAGTTTTAAAAATTGTATATTCTTTTGTAAGAGAAGATATACCATTAACAATGCTTTTATATTTTGTTTAATTATTATATTATTTAGAGTCACCATTTATTACAGATAGTTCAATAATATACGAAAATAAAATATCTAGACATGAATTTGCATTGACTATTTTTAGATACAATTAAAGCTAAAATTTGGAAAGAGATTAGTGAATAAAAACATTTGATTTTTTATGAACCATTGAGGTATTTTGTCATATTAAAGCCATTTAAATTTAAAAAACTATGAGTTTTGAAAATTAGATTTAGACTTAATAACTTTTGATTTTTTGAACTATTAGAAGATGACATCACTTGATCACTTTGATTGCTTTGATCACTTTCATAATTGTTTTGTACATTTTCATTAATAATTTTATCACCGTTTTGGTTGCTTTCATCTTTGTCACTTTCATAATCGCTTTGATTATGATCCATTGATCAAAATTATTTTTTTATTAATATGGTAATATATAGTGTTCAATATTTATATATACACATATATTACATATGATATCATTGATAGCAATAGTTTATTTTATTAATTTACGAACGAAAAATTATTACATATGATATCATTGATAGCGATAGTTTATTTTATTAATTTACGAAATGCTGTTGAAAAGTCGGGCCGGAAATTGTCACGTGTAAACGGAAATTTCCAAAATTTTACAATAGGATTTGTGCTCTGCATTGAATAAAAAAATTCATAATTTATCCGGCAATCAGTATCCGAAATCACATGTAAGCCAGAAAAATAAGCCGGCTACCATTTTTGCTGAGCGACGCTGGGGTGTACCTAGGGATGTGAAATGTCCGGTCCAGTCCCGACTCGACACCAAAAGTCGAGTCTTTGTTAATGCTCGGTCCCAAGCAGACTTCTGCACGTGTATTTAGTATATTTAGATATATGCTAGGGACTGAGCATTTAACAAAGACATGACTTTTGGAGTTGAGTTGGTCTCACTGGTCTAGCTCTTTCTTGTTGGTTTTGTTGGTCTGTTTCTTCTTGGTTTCACTAGTCAGCCTTAGGTTTTAACTGTAATTAGTGCTGTAATTTCGTTGTTACTTTGGGTTAGTTGGTTTATAATAAGTATTTTTATTTTTATTTTTTTTTTGTTATTATAAAACTTGACTAACCACCTTTTTTTTCTTTTCAGTTTTGCTGGTTTGTTTGTTTCTTGTTGGTTTCACCAGTCTGTTTGTCTCTTGTTGATTTTACTAGTCTGTTTGTCTCTTGTTAGTTTCACTGGTCTGTCTGTTTTTTGTTGGTTTCTCTAGTCTGTCTCTCTCTTGCTAATTTTACTGGTCTGTTTCTTGTTGGTCTCACTAGTCTAGCTCTCTCTTGTTGGTTTCATTAGTTTACTTTATATTTAAACTGTAATTAGTGTTATAATTTTGTTGTTATTTTAAATTAGACTATACAAATTTAATTAATTGTTTCTCATAATCTGGTTAGGTCAAATTTTGAAAACTTTTTAAGAAAAATTTTTATATGTTTTAATAGTTTGGTGGGGTTTTAAAAAAAATATTATAAAATTTTATATATAAAATTTAAAAGAAAAAGCTGGCCGGCTAGGTCATTTTTAAAATTTAATGTTATGAGAAACAAAAAATTAATTTTGTATGGCCTTAGTTGGTTTATAATAAGATTTTTTTTATTATATAATTAACTAACCAACTTTTTTTTTAGTTTTGCTAGTTTGTTTGTTTCTTGTTAGTTTTATTAGTCTGTTTTTCTCTTATTAGTTTTGCTAGTCTATCTGTTTTTTGTTAGTTTTTCTAGTTATTTTCTTTTGTTAATTTTATTAGTCTGTTTCTTGTTAGTTTTATTAATTTGGCTTTCTTTTGTTAGGTTTATTGGTTTGTTTTTTGTTGATTTTTTAGTTATATTAGGTTTGAGTTCTGTGATTTCATTGTTACTTTGAATCAGTTAGTTTATTTATTTATTTTTTTTTTAATATTAAGGTAATTACTTTGAGGTCTAGTATATTTTATTAAACTTTGATTTAAATGTTAGAGCAACTATATAGGCTACTCTGATTTTGTTATATTAACAAAGATACATTCTAGCCATATCTGCACCTTTTGAGCACCTAATTTAAGTAGTGTGCCTATTATTAGGTTCTATACTAGATGTTGTATCTATAGTCCACTATTATTTGAATTACTCAATTAAACCTTCTAATCAACTTAGTGTCATTGGATATTTGCTTCAAAGAGGAACTGCTGCTAATGCCATTTAGAACTACTTTATCTTTGTAATAAACCTACTAGAGTAGTTTATATCTCACACATATATCACTTAAATATTCAGTAACTTATATCTAGGTTGTGGTTAAGTACTTGCAGCATTTTACTTTTACTACCATTACTTACTTTTTGCTTTTGCAAAGTTTATTCAAACCCTAATATCTACTTTACAGACTATCAACAGTATTTTAATACCAACTATCAGTGCTCTAAATTCTCAATCCAAATGGCTCAAAAGAGACCAGTAAACAGTTTCTAATATTCTGAATGAATTCTTTTTTCTTTAATTATCTGGTAGCCTAGTTGGTATAGTGCTTTTATTAAACATTCAGTCCTTATTTAGTTTACTTTCGGTGTCTAGTTCTTAGATGATAATCTTATACATAGTGTTATTGAAGATCTGTGCTATCTTTTTATTCAGAACTTTCCAAGCAGGCTTTTGTATCCTCAGATCTTTTAAATTAATTTAGCTGTTTTACTTAGAATTCATATAACTTATACATCATACTATATTCTACAACCTCCTAATACAAGTTAGTAAACAGATGCTAGCCTGATTAATATATTATACAGTCTGCTATAATACATTTTGTAAATTCGAATTTTGTTACCAATGGGATTCAAACTCTTGTTCTGCCACTTGAAGATGTAACAACTTACTAACTTCAATAAGTTGCTACACCTATATCAGTTGGTTTATAATAAATATTTATATATATATATTTTTATATTTTAACTAACCAACTTTTTGTTCTTTTTGAATTTATTAGTTTGTTTGTCTTTTGTTAAGTATATTAGTCTGTTTGTCTCTTGTTGATTTTACTAGTCTGTTTGTCTCTTGTTAGTTTCACTGGTCTGTCTGTTTTTTGTTGGTTTCTCTAGTCTGTCTCTCTCTTGCTAATTTTACTGGTCTGTTTCTTGTTGGTCTCACTAGTCTAGCTCTCTCTTGTTGGTTTCATTAGTTTACTTTATATTTAAACTGTAATTAGTGTTATAATTTTGTTGTTATTTTAAATTAGACTATACAAATTTAATTAATTGTTTCTCATAATCTGGTTAGGTCAAATTTTGAAAACTTTTTAAGAAAAATTTTTATATGTTTTAATAGTTTGGTGGGGTTTTAAAAAAAATATTATAAAATTTTATATATAAAATTTAAAAGAAAAAGCTGGCCGGCTAGGTCATTTTTAAAATTTAATGTTATGAGAAACAAAAAATTAATTTTGTATGGCCTTAGTTGGTTTATAATAAGATTTTTTTTATTATATAATTAACTAACCAACTTTTTTTTTAGTTTTGCTAGTTTGTTTGTTTCTTGTTAGTTTTATTAGTCTGTTTTTCTCTTATTAGTTTTGCTAGTCTATCTGTTTTTTGTTAGTTTTTCTAGTTATTTTCTTTTGTTAATTTTATTAGTCTGTTTCTTGTTAGTTTTATTAATTTGGCTTTCTTTTGTTAGGTTTATTGGTTTGTTTTTTGTTGATTTTTTAGTTATATTAGGTTTGAGTTCTGTGATTTCATTGTTACTTTGAATCAGTTAGTTTATTTATTTATTTTTTTTTTAATATTAAGGTAATTACTTTGAGGTCTAGTATATTTTATTAAACTTTGATTTAAATGTTAGAGCAACTATATAGGCTACTCTGATTTTGTTATATTAACAAAGATACATTCTAGCCATATCTGCACCTTTTGAGCACCTAATTTAAGTAGTGTGCCTATTATTAGGTTCTATACTAGATGTTGTATCTATAGTCCACTATTATTTGAATTACTCAATTAAACCTTCTAATCAACTTAGTGTCATTGGATATTTGCTTCAAAGAGGAACTGCTGCTAATGCCATTTAGAACTACTTTATCTTTGTAATAAACCTACTAGAGTAGTTTATATCTCACACATATATCACTTAAATATTCAGTAACTTATATCTAGGTTGTGGTTAAGTACTTGCAGCATTTTACTTTTACTACCATTACTTACTTTTTGCTTTTGCAAAGTTTATTCAAACCCTAATATCTACTTTACAGACTATCAACAGTATTTTAATACCAACTATCAGTGCTCTAAATTCTCAATCCAAATGGCTCAAAAGAGACCAGTAAACAGTTTCTAATATTCTGAATGAATTCTTTTTTCTTTAATTATCTGGTAGCCTAGTTGGTATAGTGCTTTTATTAAACATTCAGTCCTTATTTAGTTTACTTTCGGTGTCTAGTTCTTAGATGATAATCTTATACATAGTGTTATTGAAGATCTGTGCTATCTTTTTATTCAGAACTTTCCAAGCAGGCTTTTGTATCCTCAGATCTTTTAAATTAATTTAGCTGTTTTACTTAGAATTCATATAACTTATACATCATACTATATTCTACAACCTCCTAATACAAGTTAGTAAACAGATGCTAGCCTGATTAATATATTATACAGTCTGCTATAATACATTTTGTAAATTCGAATTTTGTTACCAATGGGATTCAAACTCTTGTTCTGCCACTTGAAGATGTAACAACTTACTAACTTCAATAAGTTGCTACACCTATATCAGTTGGTTTATAATAAATATTTATATATATATATTTTTATATTTTAACTAACCAACTTTTTGTTCTTTTTGAATTTATTAGTTTGTTTGTCTTTTGTTAAGTATATTAATCTGTTTGTCTTTTATCTTATATAAAAATAAGAAAAATGCATATTTAATAATAACATGTATATATTATATAAAATATATATAATATCATATAATATAATTTTATTATATTTTTTCTTCAAAAAATATCAGATGTCCTTTATATTTATTTAGAATTTTTATACTATTTACATTTATATTTCTTAATTCTGCCTGTTATAATATACTCTGATCTAAATTATATATACTTTAATTTTCTTATATAAATTTAAATAGAATAAAATATATATGGTTTAGAATTATACATATTAATACAGATCAAAATAAAGTATATCAGGTCCATATCAGTATATTTTAATTCTCAATATGAATCTGATATCTAATGAAATTTAACACAAATATGATATCTATAAGAAACCAATTGGGTCATGCTGATATAAATAAATATCAGATATGCTAATAGCTTTATAAGAATATCAATATAGTTATTGATAATTTTTTGATAGCTATATTGATATACCTATAAAGCCATTGTCATATTTGATATATATTTATA